CTTTTTCATTCGTCTTTCTTCATTCTTTTCATTCTTGTTCATTCTTGTTTTTCATTCTTCATTCTTCTTATTCTTCCAACATCAAAGACAGAAATTGTCAACAAGTGCACACCAGGAGAAAAATACGGAGCGAGAGACTTTTCATCCTGGAGACATAAGACTCTGTCGTCAGACCCAGTATTGATGGTCCAGCTATGGTCTTCAAGGCCCTAGGTCATGAATACTCGCAATTTACCCTCTGCTGCCTCCCCGTATATGTATGTTATATATATAATATATATATATATATATATATATATATATATATATATATATATATAAAATATATATATATATATATATATATATATATATATATAATGTCGTGCCGAATAGGCAGAACTTGCGATTTTGGCTTAAATAGCAACGCTCATCTTGCCATATAGGAGAAGTGAAAATTTGTGTATGCAATAATTTCGCAAAAATCATTCTGAACCTAACGAAAAAAATATATTTCACTGTGTTTGTTTAGTATTAAATTGTTGTAAACGAATCTAAAATATATTTAGTTGGGTTAGGCTAAAATAAATTGTTCTTGATATAATAAGGTTAGGTAAGTTTTCTGAGATTCTTCTGGTGCAAAATAAAAAATTTTACATTAATATTAATGAAAAAAATATATCTTTAAACGTATAAGAGAAAATTTTCGATAGGACTTAATTTAAATGAGTTCTTGCTAATTGACCAGTTTTACATATTCGGCACGACATATATATATTATAATATATATAATATATATATATATATATATATATATATATATATATATATATATATTATTGTAACCACGAACGAGTTGTATTGATCAATAACAACACTGCGCTAGCCAAGGATTCGAACCCATGTTGTACTGGTCTGCCTCATGGTAAGCGAGAACCACGTGACGCCTTAAACCACAGGACCACCCAACCCTACAAGAATGGCGCAGCCAGCACACAGCTAGCTGTTGGGCCGCCATCCGAGGGCATACGGAGGTGTGGGAGCTTCTAAGCTAATTTCATTCTCATCCCTGTTTGGTGTACTAGCCTCACGAGCAGCATTTATATATTATTGTAACCACGAACGAGTGGTGAGGCTAGTACACCAATCAGGGATGAGAATGAAATTAGCTTAGAAGCTCCTACACCTCCGTATGCCCTCGGATGGCGGCCCAACAGCTAGCTGTGTGCTGGCTGCGCCATTCTTGTAGGGTTGGGTGGTCCTGTGGTTTAAGGCGTCACGTGGTTCTCGCTTACCATGAGGCAGGCCAGTACAACATGGGTTCGAATCCTTGGCTAGCGCAGTGTTGTTTATATATATATATATATATATGAAGGAAGAAAGGTTCCTTCGGTCTTTAATGTACAACGAGAGTTGGACAATTTTTTCTTTCAAGGAGAGAAAAAGAGAGAAAGATTTACCGTGGAAAAAAAGTGGTGAGGGATAGGGAAAGGAAATTGTGAGAAAGTGTGACGAGACGCCATTTGGGGTAAAGAGGAGAAAGTAAGGGATAGAGAAGAGTGTAAGAGAAGGATATAGTCGTGTGACCAGCCTCAGGTAGAGGATCAACCTCAACGACGTGGCTAAAAGAGAGAGAGAGAGAGAGAGAGAGAGAGAGAGAGAGAGAGAGAGGAGACCCTGCCTATCTGTGTCCAAAAACCCTTTCAATAACCCAAGACTCAGTTCATCTCTCCGTTACAAGACACAGGAAATACGTTTTCACCTGAAGAGGGTCAGCCAAGTATTCTTCGAGGCCCAGCTGCTGATACCTGACTCGAAACCCGATCCTTCCTTTCAGTACAACTTTTTATATCATGGCCGATGAAAAAAAAACAACGTTGATATTAAACCATAATTTTTTTCAAACACGTCAGCCGTCTCCATAATGGGAGTGTGAATCTCTCCCCCCCCCCCCCTTCTCAAAAAATAAAAGAAATTCACCATCAGTCGATAAATGGATTTTGCTAGTATTCATAAGCGCTAAATCCCTCGGATTTAGCATTTTAATATCGATACTAAATCCTACCGATTTGATATCGGTATTTAATACTGTTTCTCTAAATCCGTAGGGGGTTATAAAGCTTCTGTGAAAAGAGGTGTGTGTATGTATATAACCTTTCTTCGTTGTTTACGTTTTTTCGTTGCTTTGTGTGTTAAGAAAAGAGCATTCATTGATAAGGTCGGTGTTGTGCTCTAGTTTTTTCAAGTCATTAAAAAAAACGTGAATTAGACACGTGCAGCATCTGGGTATCTTACAGACGTTTTGTCATCCAGGGGTTTTATTAGTATAATGCATGGGGTAGATGAGGTAATCAGTCCCTCAGCCCAGGAGCAGGTGATTAGCACCGTAGTCTTGAAGATTCTGAAGCACAGGCAGGAAGATTGGTGCTTATATACTGGAGGAGGGATACCTGCTCTCATCATTAATTAAAATGCTCAACTTACTGAAGATGAGATGCTGCACGATAAACGACTTCTTACACTGATGGTATTCCGTACAATACCCACAAGTTTATCACGCTAAAACAAATGAACACCTCAGAATATCCCCTCCATTTTTTTTTTCATTGTTTTCTGTATATATTCTCTGTATTGAAATGAAAATGCCACTACCTGGTAAAACGTCTCATCAATAATGACCCCTCAAGTGTTGCCTATGTCTTATTCATCAATGGCTTCTACATGTATCTCCATCAATATTCACCCGCAGAGATGCCAGGAGGTCCTGCCAGTATTTACAAGAACAGTGTCCTCACGTCCCAGCTTCGTGAACAACAAAATACATCCCTTACATCATCCTGACAGGCAGTCATCAGCTGCCTAATTCCAGCTGTATCTTAATCAATAACACGATCCATCAACGATCATCCATACCTCGCGTGACCTGACTTTAACACGACAAGCTAATAGTGGAGCACCCCATTGAGAAATTTCAGTTTAATAACTTCAGTTTAATATCGTATCCAAATGACAATAATAAAGTATTCAGTTAGTAATAAAAAGGTATAATTAGGGTAAATACTAAGGGCAGGCCAGAATAATAATGTGTTGTAGGCCAACACCTGTGCGTTAGGAACAGGAAGACATTTGCATTGACACTCTGAGTACAGGTGTGTGAGTGAGTAGTGTATATGAGAGAATGGGTGTACATAGCTATTTGTACTCACTTATTTGTGGTTACAGGGGTCGATTCATGGCTTCTATTCCTGCCTCTTCGCTGGCGCTACTAGGTCCACTCTCTCCCTGCTCCATGTGCTTTATCGTGTGTGTGTGTGTGTGTGTGTGTGTGTGTGTGTGTGTGTGTGTGTCATGTAAGAAGGGAGAGAGAGAGAGAGGGGGGGGAGACAGACAGACAGACAGACTCCCTGTGCATTGGGTACCGACAAGGGTGAAGAGCTCTTGATCCAAATAATTGGAGCCACTCTCGGCGTCTTCGGATCAAGCCTAATTGCCTCCCATTCCTTAGGCGTTGCTTGACCCCTGCAAGTTGCAATATGGAATATACCCTTAGTCACACTTTCTCTTTTCCTGTCTCCTCTCCCTCGGTCTCCTCTTCTCCTGTCTTCTCTCTTCTCCTGTCTTCTCTCTTCTCCTGTCTTCTCTTTTCTTCTTCTTCTCTTCCTGTCTTCTCTCTTCTCCATTCTTCTCTCTTCTCATATCTTCTCTCTCTCTGTCTTCTCTTCTATATCTTCTCTCTTTCTATCTTCTTCTTCATATCTTCTCTCTTCTCATTCTTCTCTCTTCTCATATCTTCTCTCTTCTCCTGTCTTCTCTCTTCTCCTGCTTTCTCTCTTCTCATATCTTCTCTCTTCTCCTGTCTTCTCTCTTCTCCTGTCTTCTCTATTGTCTCCTCTTATTTTTCACTCTTTCCCTGTCTACGCGACTTTTCCATTTCCCCAAATCCGTCGTTACTTCTCTTTCCTTGTCTTCCTTTCGTTTTCCATTCGTTTTCTTTTCCATGCCCCTTTTATACTTTCCCCGTCTCGTGCGTTCTGTCTCCATCTCTCGCTTCTTTCTGAGTAGCGTCCATAAAAGCGGGAAAAATGAGAGATACGAGTGTCTGTAATTATCTCACCTGACGAAATTAAACATTGTTTCGCATTTTTGTGTCTCATTCCTGTTTTTTTTTTCTATATTATTCTCTAGTGCCGCGTCTTCACTCGTTTTGTATGTTTTTTTTCTCGTCCCGTTTTTTACCGTTTCCATTTGTTGTCTGGGATTTAATTCATTTCGTCTGACTGTTTCTGTTTTATGTTTATTGGTATATCGCACTCCCGTTCCCTCTTGTTGAACAAACGGAGGGTTGAGCCTCCAGTACTCCGGGATTTGTATCTCTCTCTCTCTCTCTCTCTCTCTCTCTCTCTCTCTCTCACTTTGTCTCGTGTTTACTGTTGAAGAGGGTCCTAAAAGGGATCGAAATATGCGAATCAATTAATCTTCTGAGTTTGTCTCCCTGTGGGTTATTATTGAACATAAAGTGTTCATTACGTTCATTACACTTTAGTTATCCATTAGCATAAAAATTTGTATCGTCACTACATACACCATCCCATAAGTTGTTCCAAATATTATTCCACAAATGATGCAACCCACATTGTCCCACATTTAGTTCATCATATCCCTTGCAGTACTCGTACACCGTTGTCCCACTCACCTACTCCCTAAGGAACAAAAAGGCACAATACCGTGACTGGAACCACACACACACACACACACACACACACACACACACACACACACACACACACACACACACACACACACACACACACACACATGAGCTGTGACTCGATCCCTGCAACCACAACTAGGTGAGTATACGCAGTGGAAGAAGGGTCCATACATAGCTTTAAGAAAGGGCACGATAAGACTCTTAGAGGAGGGAGAGGGTAAACCAAGTAGCGATCAGCGAAGAGGCGGGTCCAAGAACTGTGAATCGACCCTTGCAACCACAAATAGGTAAGTACACACAGTCTACCTACCTTCAACCAGTCCATGGGCCAGCGGAGGGACGCCCTTTTCCTGAAGTCCATGAGAGCCGCCCACTATCGCTTCAGCGACCCCCAGCCGAGTCAGCACAGTCAGCAGCGTCAGCAGCGCCACCTTCCCCAGCGGCGCTGACAGTGCACCCGATCCCATCGTCAGCAGCTGGACGATTTTCTCGCCGGATCTCTGTTTTGTCGGTGGTAATGCCGCCTTATGCGACCTGCTATCTCATTATCCGGCGCTAATGCTCTCCAGTCCGGGATTTTATGCCTCTAACCTTCCGTAATGTCTTCCTCTGTGCTTGTCTTCCACTTAACCTCCACCTGTTAATGCCTTTTTAATACTCCTTATAAAACTTTATCTATTCAAAAACGTCCTATATTCGAGAATTTTCTTCGAAATGAATGTCGTAATGTTTCCTTATCCGGATTCTCTTCGCGGATAGAGGGCTAAAATCGCTCTAACTCCCAGATTCAGTGGTGGATTGATACCTAAAATCGCTCTAACTGTCAGATTAAGTCGTGGATAAATAGCCAGGTAGTTCACCCACTGCAACCTCCCAACACCTGTGAACGGCTTCTGATGTTTCAAATAATGTGATTTATTTTTATTGAAGCTCATGTAGCCTCCTTTTCCTTTATCCGAATTTATTATCCCTCGTAGGAGAGGAACTTTTAAGCAAGGTAGGTAGTAGCAGTGGGTTGAGTGGGAGGTGTAGCCACTCAGACTAGTTTACACTTGTGCTGTCACAGTATTTTTTTTTTTTTAGACTGTATGTACTTACACGAGTGTTAGTTTTGTTAAATACTGAATGATCACTAAGCCGTTTTAGTTGTCGTTTTTTGTATTATCACTTACTGTTGGTAGTACCATGGTTCACAGTTGGTAGTACCATGGTTCACTGTTGGTAGTACCATGGTTCACTGTTGGTAGTACCATGGTTCACTGTTGGTAGTACCATGGTTCACTGTTGGTAGTACCATCGTTCACTGTTGGTATTACCATCATTCACTGTTGGTATTAAAATAATTTACTGTTGGTAATATAATTCACTGTTGGTATTTTAATTATTCACTAATGGCATTAACATCATTCACTCTTTGTATTATATTCCTTCATTTTCGGTATTATCATTTACTGTTGGAATTTTCATCCATCGTTGACACTAGAATTCACTTTTGATATTTTCATTAATCACTGTATTATTAATCACTGTTGGTAATACCAACTTTCACTGTTGGTATTACCATCTTTCACTGTTGGTATTACCATCCTTCACTGTTGGTATAACCATCATTCACCGTTGGTGTTTCCATCACTCACTGTTATTTCCATCACTTACTGTTGGTATGTCCTTAGTCCACTCTAGGTATTATCATTCACTGTCGATATCGTCATTCATTGACAGCATTATCATCATTCACTACTGATGTTATTAGCATTTTCATATTATGACAGTTCACTGATGGTATTAACTTGACTTACTTTCAGAATGAGCATCATTAACTGCTGTCACCATCATACACAGTTTGTCAACATTCACTTTCGCTGTAGACATTTACTATTGATATCAACATTCACTGTTAATATTAACATTTTCTGTTGATAGTATCAGCAATTCTTTTTTTAATTCGCCACTTAATGTGCCACTATTAAAAAAAATAGGTGATTAAAACATGGAGGGATACAACACGGACGTGATAACTAAGAACGCCATTATGGAGACACGCGCGCGCACGCACGCAACACACACACACACACACACACACACACACACACACACACACACACACACACACACACACACACACACACACACACATACACATACACATACATTCAGCTTCACAGATCACGTGACTCGCAAGTATCAGGTCGTCACTGTAAACACCGCTGTTTTGTTCTCACTTGCACATCGGTGTCATCCGAAAATAAATTTATTTCTGTTTTTAAGATAGCGAAGACTCGCAGATCATCGCGTTCTTTTATCTGAGCACGTTATAGTCACCTCACCTCTGGTTTCACGCTACAGTTCTGTTATCTGAGGCACAGTAAGAGCAGCCCCCCTCTGGTTCGCGTACGACGTTCCTGTTATCTGAGGCACAGTAAAGAGCAGCCCACCTCTGGTCTCGCGCTACGACGTTCCTGTTATCTGAGGCACGGTAAAGAGCGGCCCACCTCTGGTCTCGCGCTACGACGTTTCTGTTATCTGAGGCACGGTAAAGAGCGGCCCACCTCTGGTCTCGTGACCATGAACAAAATGCGATGTTTCGAAAGTCGCAAGTTGTAGAACAAAGCTTTTTATCGGGACGACGTTTTCCCCCACAACATAATGAGCTGTGACAATGTAATAAACTTTGACAACGTAATAACGAGCCCTGACAACGTAATAACGAGCCCTGACAACGTAATAACGAGCCCTGACAACGTAATAACGAGCCCTGGCAATGTAATAACGAGCCATGGCAATGTAACAACGAGCCCTGACAACGTAATAATGAGCTCTGACAGAAGAATAATGAGCCTTCTCAACGTAATAACGAGATCTGACAACGTAATAATAAGCCTTGAAGTGATAATGAGATCTTACAGCATAATGAGCTCTGATAACTTAATAACGAGATCTGACAACGTAATAACGAGCTTTGACACCTTAATTACAAATTCTGACAACGCAATAAGCTCGTTTAGGAGTCCTCAATTTTTTCAGGTATTCGAACTGGGGGCTCTGTCAAATGACATTCGACCGAGATACCACCGAGCCGTCCAAGTTCGAATCCCCGGGAACCCGTGGAATGTAACTTGGCGTGGAGTGCATTCACACGCAGATTTATGGGGGGGGGGAAGAAGAGCTAAATCCGTAGGGGTGATACAGCGCCTGGAGAGAAAGCAACTCCAGTTTCTCGGATCAAGAACCTGTTTTACCCTGTCCTCCCCGTTTGAAGGGAAATTTGATATATGATGTTCTTTTACCAAAGGCCACTTCCCAGCGTGTTACCTATTGTTCTCTAGACGCTTTGTGGCCCCTGTGGGTTTATCGGTTCCATATTAAAACCAGCAGCGAGGATGTCTATCACTTCTATTTTTATCTGTTTACCCGTTTCGCTGCCTCTTTTTACCGTTGTCAACAGAGTGGTAAGTAGCGTGTCTATCTGGAAATTAATGGACGAAGGATCGAGCCCCGACCATTTATAACGCCGAATGATTACCAAGGATTTAACACATCAAGTAAAATATAAAAAATACTAGGGGATTTTTCTCTGTGAGTGATGATTGGCTGTTGGGAACACTGTTAATGTTGTTGCTGGCAACACTGTTAATGTTGTTGCTGGCAACACTGTTAATGTTGTTGCTGGCAACACTGTTAATGTTGTTGCTGGCAACACTGTTAGTGTTGTTAGTGTTAACACATCATTGTTAGTGTTGTTAGTGTTAACACATCAAGTAAAATATAAAAAATACTAGGGGATTTTTCTCTGTGAGTGATGATTGGCTGTTGGGAACACTGTTAATGTTGTTGCTGGCAACACTGTTAATGTTGCTGCTGGCAACACTGTTAATGTTGTTGCTGACAACACTGTTAATGTTGTTGCTGGCAACACTGTTAATGTTGTTTCTGGCAACACTGTTAATGTTGTTGCTGGCAACACTGTTAATGTTGTTGCTGGTAACACTGTTAATGTTGTTGGGAACACTGTTAATGTTGTTGCTGGTAACACTGTTAATGGTGTTGCTTGTAACACTGTTAATGGTGTTGCTGGCAACACTGTTAGTGTTGTTGCTGGCAACACTGTTAGTGTTGTTGCTGGTAACACTGTTAATGTTGTTGTTGGCAACACTGTTAGTGTTGTTGCTGGCAACACTGTTAGTGTTGTTGCTTGTAACACTGTTAGTGTTGTTGCTGGTAACACTGTTAATGGTGTTGCTTGTAACACTGTTAGTGTTGTTGCTGGTAACACTGTTAATGTTATTGTTTGCTGTAACACTGTTATGTTGTTGCTGGCAACACTGTTAGTGTTGTTGCTGGTAACACTGTTAATGTTGTTGCTGGTAACACTGTTAATGTTGTTACTGGCAACACTGTTAGTGTTGTTGCTGGTAACACTGTTAATGGTGTTGCTTGTAACACTGTTAATGGTGTTGCTGGCAACACTGTTAGTGTTGTTGCTGGCAACACTGTTAGTATTGTTGCTGGGAACACTGTTAATGTTGTTGCTGGCAACACTGTTAATGTTGTTGCTGGCAACACTGTTAATGTTGTTTCTGGCAACACTGTTAATGTTGTTGCTGGCAACACTGTTAATGTTGTTGCTTGTAACACTGTTAATGTTGCTGGGAACACTGTTAATGTTGTTGCTGGTAACACTGTTAATGGTGTTGCTTGTAACACTGTTAATGGTGTTGCTGGCAACACTGTTAATGTTGTTGCTGGCAACACTGTTAATGGTGTTGCTGGTAACACTGTTAGTGTTGTTGCTGGTAACACTGTTAATGGTGTTGCTGGTAACACTGTTAATGGTGTTGCTGGTAACACTGTTAATGGTGTTGCTGGTAACACTGTTAATGGTGTTGCTGGTAACACTGTTAATGGTGTTTCTGGTAACACTGTTAATGGTGTTGCTGGTAACACTGTTAATGGTGTTGCTGGTAACACTGTTAATGGTGTTGCTGGTAACACTGTTAATGGCGTTGCTGGTAACACTGTTAATGTTGTTGCTGGCAACACTCTTTACACTCTTAGGTTAAGATTAGCGGGAGTGTACATCTGGGGTGTGTGATGAATACACTCATGAGAGCGCACCTCTGGTGTTCATTGTTGTGAACACACCTCTGGTGTGCTCTCTTTTATCAAAGCATCTCTGGTGTACTCTCTCTTATCAAAGCACCTCTGGTGTACTCTCTTGTCAAAGCATCTCTGGCGTACTCTCTCTTGTCAACTCACCTCTGGTGTGCTCTCTCGTGAATACACCTCTAGCGTGTTTTCTCGTGAACGCACCACTTGTACACAATACTCAAGAAGACACCTCTGCACGCCTTTGTGAACGCACCGCTGGTGAACACTCCTTCAAACATACCCCTCTGGTGCACACACACTGCTGGTGCGCACACACAAACACTTCTGGAGCACACATCTTTACGACATAAACTATGGCTATCTCACATGGGATCCGTGAACATACTACATGAAGCAAGTACAGATTTGCACTCTGTAAAGAACAGTGACTTGAAATTACCAAGTAATAACTCTGACTCTGCCAACAAGGCGTTCGGAATTGTCCAACACTTTTTGCAACAGTTACCCTTTTGGTCATATACCAAATTCATGATAATTTCGGCAACTTGACCCATATCATCAATGTTGCATTTAAAGGTCGTTACCTATACGAGTTTACGTTAGCCCTTATACAAGGACTAACGTAAACTCGGTGCCGTTTTGTTTGCACTGGAGCTACACCTCTCAGTGTATACCAAGAGATTAATGGCAATAATGGACTGGTAAACCGGTGGAAGACCTCAGTCAGATGACCATAAACTCCGACTACGGGTCTTCCTGTAACTTGAAGCCGTCAGGAAACGCTTGTCCTGTTTCCTGACAAACTTTACCTAATCTAACCTCCGAGAGATTAGCACCTTCCTGTCCAAGTAAATATATTTAGAGATGAACGTACCTAAGTGTATATACCCAGTACTTACACAAGAGTTGGGAGCCGCTCTCTAAATGCTTCATCCACACGCACAATGAAGACAAGTGGATGAACAACACAAACGCAACGGCTTGGTATAACAACTCGTAAATAAAGATACCAAACTGTTTCACGAGTGTCATCCTTTTCACCTGTCTCTCTTAGGCTGACTTTCTCTTACTCAGACAACAGTCCTGAGGCGGGTCATAATCATACGAAGTCGCGTTCAGTAGCTCGCTGAGGGCGTGTTGTTGTCACTGTGGAAGTTCGTGCGGCTTTATTGTTGGAACAAGGATGATTGCTGCCAGGAAATCAGGGTGCCGCATGGCTGTGTGGGTGGGGCACGGTGATTCTGGTTCTGTAGCTGAGTCGCGGCAGGTCGTGGCAGGTCCACAACAGGTCGTAGCAAATGGTAGTGTCTGCTCGCCAAATACCTTCACTTTGAACCCTGTGGCGACGTTTCTGTCCATCCTCACCATTGTCAGTTGTGACCTGACAGTGGTCCAGGTAGGACCGAAACGTCGTCCTAAGTGCGGGTTTTGGTGAGGTGTTGACGTTAAACTCTTAAGTTGAATTTGAAATATTTAACTTACATCTACAAGTGTTATATCCATCTATTTCATCCTTGTAACCAAATCTGACTCCTCCGGGAAGGTGCGCTGATGCCATTGAGGATGCTCTTGATCCAAGGAAATGAACCTACTCTTCCCTTGGGTTGAATGATATTCTCCCATTTTCCCCAAACGTTCATGGACCATACAGTTTTAGCGCTTCGAACATGAATTTAATAATATTAGAAGTAAAATTAATAATTCTCTATTGAAGAAGTGGAGAAGAATCGTTCTTCCGTAAGCCATACGTGTTGTAAGAGGCGACTAAAAGGCCGGGAGCAAGAGGTTAATAACCCTCTTCTCTTGTATACATTACGGATGTAAAAAGAAAATCTTTCTTTTTTTCTGGAACATCCTGTCACTGTAGGAGACGGCCGATGTGTAATAATAATAATAATTAATAAATAATAATAATAATAATGTAAACAGTTCTGACACCATTTTTATGAATTATTGAGTGAGGAATATTGACATCGGTAACACTCCACTGTTACGTCAAAATAATCTGACGTCATGGCCTTTAATTGCTAGGACAAGCAATCCAGATACAACCCATAATTGTCTCTCCATAAACAGGTGTTTGACGTCACGGCTTCTAATTATCACGTAAACAAATCAACGACCACGCTTTTTTTTTCCCAGTTTTTGCAAAGTTAAAAAATAGGGGACTAAAGAATTATTTTTATATTAATGTTGAATTTAAGAGTAACTTTTTTTTTATAGGAAGCAGTGCCTGTTTTACCTTGTTCACCTAGAAAAAATGTTTAATGTTTATGTATAGTTTCAGTGGATTGTTTAATTTATTAAATAAGGGCCAGTTATTATTGTTAGTTTAACGTAAAACTCCGTAACTATCAGCGTTTTCTTTTTTGCAACGCTTTTCAAGGCTGTGTCTGAGACCGGGCCGCGGGGGCCCTGAAACCACTGACATCAAACTTTCGCTCATCATCATCATTCACAATCAATCACAATCAGTCACTGCCGCACCAGCCACGGCTGTTACAATAGACAACTTTGTCAGTCCTCATTGACACACCGTTTTTGCTACGCCAGGTATATACATCGGAGGATGTGCTGGGAGTTAGTGTATATTTGCGTATGTAACCTAGGGGTGTGTATGCGTATGGACTCTTGAAGTGTGTATCTCTACTTATATACGCTGCCTTCATGAAGGAGCTGGACAGATACTTAAAGTCGGTGCCAGATCAGCCGGGCTGTGGTTCGTACGTTGGACTACGTGCGGCCAGCAATAACAGCCTAGTTGATCAGGCCCTGATCCACCGGGAGGCCTGGAGTGGACCGGGCCGCGGGGGCGTTGATCCGCGGAATACCCTCCAGGGACTCCAGGTAGGGATGTGTGCGCACATGTACGGTACAGGTGTGTGTGTCTGCGTATGTACGCTAGGGGTATATATATCCTTTTCTAAACGCTAGGGCGTATATATATTTGCGTATACACACTAGGGGTGTATATACCTGCGTATATTTGCTAGGAGTGTGTATATCTTGGTGCAAATACGATGGGAGGTGTGTGTGTGTGTATTTCGGCATGTGTACATAGGTGGTGTATTTCTTACTCAGAGAGTTAACTCTAGTACCTACACGTATTAATAATACAACCATCATAGCCATTGGCGCCAAACCCACAGGGGCAGGTCATACCGCGTTGAAGAAATTGAAGAAAATCAGGTTTGATCCCAAGTAGGAGAAGATAGTTCCAGTTTGAAAAGTGATATGCAGCCATCGTGTAGTAGATAGTCTTCAAACCATCTTCCCCCCCAAAAAAATTCACTATTGCTTTATGACTGTCAGTCACTGTCAGTCACTTTCACTGTCAGCTTCACTTATCAGTCACCATCATCATTGCAATTTCACTATCAGCAGTGAAAATGGCAAATCATAGTGCTCTTGATCCAAGGAATGGGCTGTCCTCTTTCTCGGATCAGACCTGGTTACCTCCTACGTCTCAGGCACTGTATAACCCATGCGGGTATAAAGCTTTCCCCCATGAATGTAACGCCATCATCAACAACACCATTAAAATTACCCATTGGGAAACAGTACCATTAATCTCAATTGTCTCCCCATTTAACGGAGATGGGGAGGAAAAAATGGGGTGAAGTCAGGTCTCATTATAGGGAACTATTTTCCGTTGTTCCTATTATCGAAGGAACTCCATTTTGAAAATTTCCCCATTATCGAGTCCCCATTATCAGAGGGTCCCCATTATCAAGGGTCCCATTGTCAAGAGGTCCCTATTGTCATGGGGTCCCCATTATCAAAGGTTTGCCATTATCGATGGGCCTTATTACCGAGGTCCCAATTATCAGTGGTTCCCCATTACCAAAGGTTCCCCATTATTATAAACCCCCATTACGTGGTTAAGTACGTGGGACGTCAATTTCACAAGTTCCTAGATCTTGACGTAATTTAACACAGGGGAGTGGGCGGGGTGTGTGGGTGGAGTGGGCGTGGTACGTGACTGTAGACTGGGTGTGTGGCTGGAATGGGCGGGGACGTGGGTGGAGTGGGCTGGATGTGTAGTTACAGTGGGCGGGGATGAGTGAATGGACAGGATGTGTGGTTGTAATGGGCGGGGGTGTGGGTGGAGTGGGCTGGGTGTGTGGGTGCAGTTTGTGGGGTGAGTGGGTGACAATGATTTCTGTTAGGAATAATTTGGGCGCAGGTTAGTGTTAGGGGGTTTTGGGCGTGTGGACGTGGGCGACGAGGGTGGGTGGATGTGGGCGGAGAGGGAGGGTGGACGTGGGCGACGAGGGTGGGTGGGCGTGTGCGACGAGGGAGGGTGGGCGTGTGCAACGAGGGTGGGTGGACGGGCGTGTGCGACGAGGGTGGGTTTGAGGTGAGGGCAGGTGAGGCCAGCGCGGGGAAGTTCACCTCGCACCACACAGATCCACCTTCCACTCTGGCTCAGGCCACACTGACTGACTCACCACTCTGATACCACCACCAGCACTACTACCAGCACTGCCACTACCACCACCACCAGCACTGCCACTACCAGCACCGCCACCACTGCCAGCACTGCTACCACCACCACCACCAGCACTGCCACTACCAGCACTGCTACCCCACCACCAGCACTGCTACCCCACCACCAGCACTGCCACTACCAGCACTGCCGCCACCAGCACTGCCACTACCAGCACCCCCACCACTGCCAGCACTCTACCACCCACTACCCACACTGCCACCAACCCTCGCCACTACCCAGCCCCCAGACTGCCACACCAGCACTCGCCACTCACCTCACCACCACCCACCTCACGCCCCACCCCAGCACTGCCACTACCAGCACCGCCCACCACTACCAGCACTGCTACCACCACCACCAGCACTGCCACTACCCCAGCACTGCACCACCACCACCAGCACTGCCACTACCAGCACTGCCCCACCACAGCACTGCCACACCAGCACCCACCACTGCCACACCGTACCACCCACCTCCACCACCTGCCACACTCGCCCCACTACCACCACTGCCGCACTGCCACCACCACCACCACCAGCACTGCCACTACCAGCACGCCGCCACGCAGCACGCACCACCACACCAGCACTGCCACTGCCAGCACTGCCGCCACCACCACACAGCCACTACCAGCCACTGCCGCCACCACCACCACTACCAGCACTGCCACCACACCAGCACTGCCGCCACCATCACCACCAACCACAACGCCACTGCGCCACCACCACTCACACCAGCACTGCCGCCGCCACCACCACACCACCAGACTGCCACTACCAGCACTGCCGCCACATCACCACCATTACGCCAGCACTGCCCCCGCCGCCACCACCACCAGCACTGCCGCCGCCACCACCACTACCACCAGCACTGCCACTACCAGCACTGTCATCACCACTGCCAGCACTGCACCACCACCACCAGCACTGCCGCCGCCACCACCACTACACCACCAGCTCTGCCACTACCAGCACTGTCACACCAGCCGCCGCCACCACCACACCAGCACGCCAGCACTGCCACCACCACTCACCGCACTCCCACTACCAGCACTGCTGCGCCAACCACCCACTAAGCACTGCCCACCAGCCACCACCACCCCCAGCTCTGCCACACAACCACTGCCCCTGCCGCCACCACCACTGCCAGAAACTGCCACCACCACCACCACGCAGCACTGCCGCCACCACCACCAGCATCTGCCACTACCAGCACTGCCCCGCCAGCCACCACCACCACTGCCAGCACTGCCACCACACCACCACTGCCAACTCGACCACCACCACGCTGCCGCCGCCACCACCACCACAGCTGCCACTACCAGCACTGCCGCACCCGCCACCACCACCACTGCCAGCACTGCCCCGCCCCACCATCCACCACACCACCACCATGGCCGCCACCACCAGCACTGTCACTACCAGCACTGCCACCACCACAGTTGCCACCACCACCACTGCCAGCACTGCCGCCACCACCACCACTGCCAGCACTGCCGCCACCACCACCACTGCCAGCACTGCCGCCACCACCACCACCAGCACTGCCGCTACCAATACCGCCACCACCACAACTACTGTCAGTGGTTACTTAGACACTTCACCTGTAGCGAGAGTTCGTAATGTACACAGATATAAGTATGACACAGCTTTATGAAGCAAATAAGCATCCTAAGATAGCGAGTAGTTGGGAGCTCTGGGAGGAGAAAATCAGGTGAGAGGGAGAGTGAGAGAGATAGAGATAGAAAGAGAGATAGAGAGAGAGGGGGGTTAGGAAGAGGGAGGTAGAATGGAGCATGGATCTTGGCATCAGGCTGAGTAGTTTGGTATGTTGATCCTGGACTGTACTCACCTAATTGTACTCACCAAATTGTGGTTGCAGGGGTCGAGACTCAGCTCCTGGCCCCGCCTCTTCACTGATCGTTACTAGGTCGTCCTCTCTCTGCTTCCTGAGCTGTATCATACCTCTTCTTAAAACTATGTATGGTTATTGCCTCCACTACTTCACTTGCTAGGCTATTCCACTTCCTGACTACTCTATGACTGAAGAAATACTTCCTAACGTCCCTGTGACTCGTCTGAGTCTTCAGCTTCCAGTTGTGACCCCTTGTCCCTGTGTCCCCTCTCTGGAACTTCCTATCTCTGTCCACCTTGTCTATTCCTCGCAGTATCTTGTATGTCGTTATCATGTCTCCCCTGACCCTTCTGTCCTCCAGTGTCGTCAGTCCGATTTCCCTCAACCTTTCCTCGTACGACATTCCCCTGAGCTCAGGGACTAGCCTTGTTGCAAACCTTTGTACTTTCTCTAACTTCTTGACGTGCTTGACCAGGTGTGGGTTCCAGACTGGTGCTGCATACTCCAGTATGGGCCTAACATACACAGTGTACAGTGTCTTGAACGATTCCTTATTAAGGTATCGGAACGCCATTCTCAGGTTTGCCAGGCGCCCGATGCTGCAGCAGTTATTTGGTTGATGTGTGCCTCCGTGATGTGCTCGGTGTTATGGTCACCCCAAGGTCTTTCTTCCTGAGTGAGGTCTGTAGTCTTTGTCCACCTAAGCCCAGTGGTTCCCAAAACTGGGGGTAAATTACCCCCTGGGGGTAATTTAACCATTTTTGGGGGGTAATGGAGGGTGACAGAAAAAAAAGTTATGAATTCTGAAAATCAAGAAAACAATGCGGTACCGGTATGAGGATTATTGTTAACTTTGTCTTAGTATATAAAGTTGTAAAGTAAACCTATTATAAGTAAGTAATAAAGTTAAACCAAATAACAATAAACATCAAAAACTAATATACAGTATTAGAAAAGAAGAAATATATAGCTAAGTGTGTGGAAACCCAAAAGTATTTTGACAAGTATGCTTCAGGACAAAAGTCACTCAGTAGCCCAGATCGACCTGTCCAGTACGCGTCACTCACTTCCTGAGGCTGCCTCTATTTCACACTGTCAGTTTATCTGTGAACATCAGCCGAGGTAGACATAAGCTGGTATGTATGTGTACTGCCCTGTGCAGTATATAGTTAGTATTTACCCACTGTTACTGTGAATTTGTAGCTATTATTAATTTTATATATAATGTATGTGTGGTTCTTACGTTTTCAATGGTTTTGCTAGGATTAGCAGAGTATGCGAGGCTGTATACGTTCACGTTTAGCCATATATATCAATAATAACATTTTGTTAAAGGGGTAACATGCTTTAGGTGGCATGTTAAATTGGGTAACAAGCTGAAAAAGTTTGGGAACCACTGACCTAGCCTATACTCTGTCTGCGGTCTTTGCCCCTCCCCAATCTTCATGACTTTGCATTTGGCTGGATTGAATTCGAGAAGCCAGTTACTGGACCACATGTCCAGCCTGTCCAGGTCTCTTTGCAGTCCTGCCTCATCCTCATCGGATTTAATTCTTCTCATCAACTTCACATCATCTGCGAACAGGGACACTTAAGAGTCTATTCCTTCCATCATGTCGTTCACATATATCAAAAATAGCACTGGTCCTAGAACTGACCCCTGTGGGACCCCGCTCGTCACAGGCGCCCACTGTGATACCTCTTCACGTACCATGACTCGTTGCTGCCTCCCTGTCAGGTATTCCCTGATCCATTGCAGTGCCCTCCCTGTTACATGTGCCTGATCCTCCAGCTTCTGCACTAATCTCTTGTGGGGAACTGTGTCAAAGGCCTTCCTGCAGTCTAGGAAAACGCAATCTACCCACCCCTCTCTCTCGTGTCTTACTTCTGTTACCTTGTCATAAAACTCCAGGAGGTTTGTGATACACGATTTGCCTTCCATGAACCCATGCTGGTTTTCATTTATAATCTTGTTCCTTTCCAGGTGTTCGACCACTCTCCTCCTGATAATCTTCTCCATGACTTTGCACACAATACATGTCAGAGACACAGGTCTGTAGTTTAGCGCCTCGTTTCTGTTTCCTTTCTTAAATATGGGGACTACATTAGCTGTCTTCCATTTCTCAGGTAGCTGCCCAGTTTCAAGGGATGTGTTGAAGATTGTGGTTAGAGGCACGCACAGCATCTCTGCTCCTTCTCTAAGGACCCATGGGGAGATGTTGTCCGGTCCAATCGCCTTTGAGGTGTCAAGGTCACTTAGGAGCTTCTTCACCTCTTCCCCAGTTGTTCGTATGTCATCCAACACTTGTTGGTATATTCCCTCTTGATGTTCCCTTCTGTGCTGTCTTCCCACAGCCCTTCCTGTCTCTACTGTAAAAACTTCCTTAAATCTCCTGTTCAGCTCCTCACATACCTCCTGATCATTTCTTGAGAGTTCTCCAATTTCTGTCCTTAATCTGATCACCTGGTCTTTGACTGTTGTCTTCCTCCTGATGTGGCTATACAAGAGTTTCGGGTCAGTCTTGATTCTCGATGCTATGTCATTTTCATACTGTCGCTGGGCCTCCCTCCTTACCTGTGCATACTCATTCCTGGCTCTGCGACTGATCTCCCTATTTTCGTGTGTTCTCTGCCTTCTGTACTTTTTCTATTCTCTATTGCACTTTGTTTTTGCCTCCTTACACCGTCGGGTAAACCAGGGGCTCGTTCTGGTCTTCCCGTTGTTACTGTTGCCCTTGGGAATAAACCTTTCCACTGCCTCCTTGTATTTTGTTGTTACATATTCCATCATTTCATTTACTGGCTTTCCTGCCAGTTCTCTGTCCCACTGGACCTCCCGCAGGAAGTTCTTCAACCCTATGTAGTCCCCTCTTTTATAGTCAGGCTTTTCCATTCAACTCCTGTTATTCTCTCCACTTGCAGCTCTACTATGTATTCAAAGCACAGAACCACGTGGTCGCTAGCTCCTAGGGGACTCTCATACTTGATGTCCTCAATCTCTGAGCTGCCCAGGGTGAACACAAGGTCCAATCTTGCTGGTTCATCCTCCCCTCTTACTCTGGTAGTGTCCTTAACATGTTGGTGCA